CGCCCACCGCATGCCCATTTCGGCACACCCCTCACACTGTTCGTGGCGCCATAGGGCGCTCCGCCGAAGGCCCCAGTGGCCGCGTCCGCATGCGTCCTCCCCGCCCACAGCATGCCAATGTCGGCACACCCCGCACACGGTCCGTGGCCCCACAGGGGGCTCCGCCGAATGCCCCAGTGGCCGCGTCCGCATGCGTCCTCCCCGCCCACCGCATGCCCATGCCGGCACACCCCTCCCACGGTCCGTGGCCTCATAGGGAGCTCCACCGAAGGCCCCAGTGGCCGCGTCCGCATGCGCCCTCCCCGCACCCCGCACACGGTTCGTGGCCCCACAGGGGGCTCCACCGAAGGCCCCAGTGGCCGCGTCCGCATGCGTCCTCCACGCCCACCGCATGCCTATGCTGGCACACCCCTCACACGGTCTGTGTCCCGTCCGCATGTACCCTCCCCGCCCACCGCACCCATGCACCCTCACACGTTTCGCGGCCCCATAGAGAGCTTCACCGACGGCCACACTGGCTGCGTTCGCGTGCGCCCACCGCACCCATTTTGGCACACATCTCACACGTTTCATGGCCCCAGGCTGACACGGAGCTCCTCCGAATGCGGTGCATACATCGACGGTGCTCACAGCTGCATCTGGTTGGGTCTCTCGTCAGGCGAATTTTAACTCTCACGCCGTATCGTCGGCTTTTCATTGTAGAAGACAAACGTCTGAGAATCTTCAGTTGCGCCAGAATGTCATTCTTGGGACTTCAGCGCCGCGGATCAATCTGATTGTTGCGTCCTGACAGTTCATCATCGCGCCAGAACTTTTCCTGAGGCTTCAACACTGCGACTCAGCATGACTTCTGCGTCCTGACAATCCTAGAGCGCGCAAGAACGTCATCCTTGGGGCTTTGAACATACAGACCCTCTTTTCAGACGAACGTGCGCGGCGCTAAGGAAGGCGAGAGCCACATTTTGAAGAGACACACCTTCCATCATTGAAACTGTTGCAGCTTCTTCAGACGAGTATACGCGCCGCTATGGACGAGAACAACAGTTTGAAAACAACATGCCCTCGAAACTGCTGTAAACTTTTAAGACGACTGTCCGCGGCGCTACAGCGAGAGCCACATTCTGAAAACCACCCGCCCTCCAACAGTTAAACGGTTGCATGGCCTAAAAACGAATGCGCGCTGCGCTGAGGCCAGAGCCACATTTTGAAAAAGGCCCGCCCTCCATCAGTGAACATGTCACAATTCAAGCTACAAGATCATACATGGCGAGGAAGTCTCAGGCGACACGCCCAGCCCGCCCTGCCAACACGTCGGCGGGCAGGGAGGAGTTATCTATGCGGAAGAAGGAGCGGAGGATGAGGAGGAAGGAAGCGAGGATGTTTGTTTGAGGTCTTCGTTGGCTCTTGTGGGTTTCCTCGCCTCGGGATGCTCTCCAGCAGCTGCGCCTCGCCGAGGGTGTTCTGGGGCTGCCCGAAAAATCCCGAATGGCTGCCAGAGACCCGAGTTATGATTTGAAAACCAATGACAAGGCTGGGGGGCGGGGGAGGGAGTATCAGTCGATGGTGTCCAAGGATTAAGGTCCCCGGGGAGGGGGACTGAGATGCGGGGGGCATGGCATGGCCGGGGCTATGACATGTCCCCGATTTCGTAGCCTTCTCTTCTTCTTTCAACGCGTCCTCTGTTCCTCACCTCGTCCGCGCACATGCCTCGGATCATGATGCGCTCCCCCCAATCTCTCTATAGCCGCCTCATCGGCGCACCCGAGAGAAAGAGGAGACAGATCCCTCTGATCTTGGTGTCGCCCGACATATCGCGACGGCACGCTCTTTTACATGTTTGGCCTTTGTAGGCCTTTCCCCAGCCCTGGGGCCGCCAATGTGTTCGCGCTTTTCGCCGCTTTTCGCTCGTACTTATTTGTGAGCTCATCGAGCGCATGCTCGCACACGCACCAAGCCTTGCTTGATGGCAAGTGATGGGAGGATGGCGGGATTGATGCGAACGGTGCACAGAAGACCCTTCTCATTTCCTCGTCCTTCACCCCCTCCTCTGCCCACTTCCTTTCCCCTCGTATTCACCTTCCTCTGAGACCCTTTCTGCCCCACCTCGCCTGGGTGTTGGTGGGAGGAGGGCTGGAGCGCATTTCCCGCCGCCCGACCAAGCAGAAAAGCTGCAGCAATGAGGGCGCAGTTGCTCATTGAAGATTGTCCGAACAATTTTGAGCTTCAGGGGGGCTTCACCAGGCCAGGGTAGGCCAGGGTGGCTGGGGAATCGCTCCTCCTCCGCCTCTACCAGCTGGTCCCCTGTGTTACAGGCCCACTGTATGGGCCCTCTGACCTGGGAGCTCGTCGGCTTCGGTCTGCGGACTATAGAAACCCGAAGGCCAAGTGTCCCCCGAGGACTGGGTACCCGTCGGTCGTGGGATGTAGGTATTATGGAATTCCCATCTCCCAATCTATTTTAGTCGCCTACCTACTCCAAGGGTCGAGCGGTTTTCCTTCT